CCCTGGGTTCGATTCCTCAGTACCACATAAACAGAAAAAGCCAGAGGTGGTGCTATGGTTGAAGTGGTAGAGTGCTAGCTCAGAGAGGCTTAGGGACAGATTCCAGGCCCTGAGTTACAAGAAAAAAAAAAAGAGTCACAATCATACTGAGTGCTGGTAGTCCAGGTTTATAATCCCACCTACTCAAGAGGCTGAGATCTGAGGATTGTGATTTGAAGCTAGCCTGGCAGGAAAGTCTGTGAAACTCTCCATTAACCACCAAAGAGCCCAAACTGGAGCTATGGCTCAAGTGTAGAGTACCAGTACCAGCCTTGAATGGAAAAAGCTAAAGGATAATATGTAGGCCTTGAGTTTAACTCCCAGGATTAGTGCACACACGTACACACATATACACAGGAACATGGTAAAGAAAGAACAATGTTGTTCTGTTGTTGTGTATGTGCCAGTACTGAGGCTTAAACTCAGGGCATCAAGCTTCTACTTGGAATATTTTTTTTAATTTTTTTTTGTGAACATACTGTACAGAGGGGTTACAATTACATGGGCAGGATAATGCACTTGGAATATTTTTGCTCAAGGCTGGAGCTCCCTTTTCTCACTTTTTGGTGGTTAATTAGATTAAGTAGCCAGGATTACAGGTGTGAGCCACCAGCACAAGGCTCAGTAAGTATTTATTCAAATTTTCCACCTAAGAAAGCCAACATCCAGAGTAGTTAAGCAGTTGGGAGCTGGTGGCTCACCTCCATAAACCTATTTGCTCAGGAAGCTGAGATCTGAGAATCTCAGTTAGAAGCCAACCGAGCAGGAAAGTACTTAAGACTCTTATCTCCAATTAATCACCAAAAAGCCAGGAAGTAGAGATATGGCTCAAAGTGGTGGAGCACTAACCTTGAGCAGGAAAAAAAAGAAAGGAAGGGGGCTGGGAAGGTGGCTCAGTGGTAGAGCGCTTGCCTTGCATGCATGAGGCCCTGGGTTCGATTCCCCAGCACCACATAAGCAAAAAAAAAAAAGAAAAGAAAAGAAGGGAAAGAGAGAGAAAGCAGGTAAGCTAGGTAGCTCCAGGACAACGCTTAGGGCCTGGGTTCAAGCCCCATGACTGACAAAAAAAAAAAAAGAGTGGTTAAAAAACCAGGTTCCAGGGCTGGGAAGGTGGCTCAGTGGTAGAGCGCTTGCCTTGCATGCATGAGGCCCTGGGTTTGATTCCTCAGCACCACATAAGCAAAAAGAAAAAAAGTGGCGCTGTAGCTCAAGCACTAGCCTTGAGCTGAAGAGCTGAGGGACAGCGCCCAGGCCCAGAGTTCAGGCCCCACGACTGGACCAAAAAATAAAATAAATAAATAAAAACAAAAAGGTTCCAGCTGTGGGGTGTAAGGAGGGGCAGAGGGTTAGGGGAAGGCTTTAGGTAGTGAGAGGGTTGCATGGGCCCTGGGAAGAAGACATAAGCAGACAGAAGCAATTCCTGACTGATACTGTCACCATTCCTGGCCTCAGCACTTCAGTGTGGAGCTCAAAATCCTCAGGCTATACCCTCCTCTGCAAGTACGATGCTTGCTCCCAGACAATGTGGCTCCCAGGAATCTCAGGATCAATGGCTTCCTGAGATGGAGGTTTATACAGGGAAAGGAAGGCCAGAGAATGGCCCTCTGGTCAATGGCCTCAGGCCCTACCTTGAAAAAGACATAAAGCTGACTCAGCTTCCTTGAGCCATTTCTACCAGAACATTCCCTAGGTCATTCATCTCTATCTAGGTGAGAGACCTGGAGTTTAAATGCTCCAGCCCTGAACCTTAGACTTTCCTGGCACAGATAACAACTTGCTCAGAACCTTCTTCCAACCCTGGGGATGGAAGGAGGGCCTGAAGAGGGGGGGAGAGAGGCAGGAATGCTGGGGAAGGGCTGAGACTCCCTGCTGACATGGCAGCCAGAGAGGCTGGGAGGACCCCCCCTCCCCAGGACACTGGGTGTTCCTGGGCAGGACAATGACTAAGGGAGGCTCAGCTCTGCTGGGTACTCCTGAAGTTTCTAGAATGTGGCACTCAGGTTAGACCTGGGTGGGACTGGTGTGTATATTATTCTATTTACATAGAATAATATACATACTGAAACAAACTCCAAGATATGGAAACAAAAGACATATTTTTCATTCTTTTTCAATTTTTAACTTTTGATGATTCTGTCTTCTATACCTTATGTGTGCTGCATTCACATGTATATCTTCAGGAGGGTTGGAGGATGGGCACAGAACTCCAGGGAAAAAGGGTGAAAAAGTACAGCAGCAGAGCTCACTAGACACATGAAAGTGAGCTATATAACTTGTGGCTGGAGATGGGAGGGAGGGACTGGGAGATAATGAGGAAACTGATAATACTGTACAAAAGGAAATGTACTTATTACCTGACTCATGTAATTGTACTTCCTCTGTACATCACCTCTATAACAACAATAAATTAATTTAAAAAAAACTGGTGCTCTTCTACTTGAGCCACAACTCCACCTCCAGCTTTTTGCTGGCTAATCAGAAATAAGATTCTCTTATATTTTTCTGCCAGAGCCTACTGAGTAGCTAAGATTATAGGCATGAGCTACTGATGCTCAGCTTCCAGAAATTTTTGATCTTGTGAAACTGATATGCTAACCACTAAACAATAATGCCCCATTTCCCCTCCCATAGCAACCACTGATTTCTATTTTCTGTTTTTGTAAGTATCTCATGCAATATTTTGTCTTTTTATAATTGGCTTGCTTCACAGCAAATGTCAAGTGTCATAACTGCCTTAAGTTTGAAGACTGAATAATATTACATTGTATGCATATGTCACATTTTGTTGATCTATGTATCAACATTGATGGACACTGAGGTTTTGTTGGGTTTTTTTTGGTCCTCTCGTGGGGCTTGAACTCTGGGCCTGGCACTGTCCCTCAATTCTTCAGCTCAAGGCTAGCGCTCTACCACTTGAGCCACAGCACCACTTCCGACTTTTTTCTTTTTGCTTATGTGGTGCTGAAGAATCGAACCCAGGACCTCATGCATGCAAGGCAAGCACTCTACCACTGAGCCACCTTCCCAGTTCCAACTGAAAGGATTTTTTAAAAAAAGTTTGTATGTCCATGTGCATAGGAGAAATGCTCATAGATAAAAAGTGTCAGGGCTGGGAAGGTGGCTCAGTGGTAGAGCACTTGCCTTGCATGTATGAGGCCCTGGATTCGATTCCTCAGCATCACATAAGCAGAAAAAGCTGAAGTGACGCTGTGGCTCAAGTGGTAGGGTACTAGCCTTGAGCTGAAGAGCTGAGGGTCAGCGCCCAGGCCCACAGTTCAGGCCAACACACACACACACACACACACACATCTTTTCAATTATTTCAGCATACCCAGAAATGGAATTGGGGTTCCAGTTTCCCCACACCCTCTCCAACATTTGATGGGTGTGAGGTAATATCTCATTATTATAGTATTTTTATTTTGCTCTGTTTGGGTTATTTTCTGGTTTTTTGTTTTGTTTTTGAGACAGACTCTCACTTTATAGTTCAGGCTGGACTTGGACTTGCTAAGTAGCTCTGTTTTGATATTTAATAATCACTAGCATGGCCGGGTGGTGGCGGCTCACGCTTGTAATCCTAGTTATTCAGGAGGCTGATATCTGAGGATCACAGTTCAAAGCCAGCCCAAGCAGGAAATTTGGTGAGACTCTTATCTCCAATAAACCACTCGAAAACTGGAAGTGGCACTGTGGCTCAAGTAGTAGAGCACTCGCCTTGAGCTGAAGAATGCAGGGACAGTGCCCAGGCCCAGAGTTCAAGCCTCACGACAGACCAAAAAAAAAAAAAAAACAACACTAGCATGACTGACTGAGTCTCAGATGTAAAGATACCATATTCAAGAAATGGGAAGCCAATTGTAGTGATGCATGCCTATGTAGTGATGCCAGCAGAGGCAAAAGGATCTTGAGTTTGAGTCCAGCCTTAGCTATATAGTGAGACCCTGTCTAAAAAGAGAGGGAGTGGGAAGTCATGTATACTATTACAAAAAGCTGTCTCCACCAGCAGCAACAAAAGCCATTGGTTTTCTTTTGGCTTGGGAAACTAGAACAAAATGGAAATAGAGATAGGATGAGCAATGAACACTGTTTGCTTCAGCTACCACTGGGCTTGATAGGATGTCAAGGATCATGCTTTCCAGGGTCATCTGATCTCTGTATTAGCCTATTTTCTGTTGCTATAACAAAATGCCTGAAGATGAGTATTTTATGAAGAACCAAGGTTTACTGAGCTTAGTTTTGGAATCTTACATTTCAGATGGGCAGTCCCATCACCTAGGCTTTGGTGAGGGCCACCTTGGAGCATCACATAGTGTATGGCATCATGGTGGAGCACAGGAAGGAGGGAGAGCTGGGATGGCCAAAGACTTGGGAGAGGCCAGTCTTTCTCTATCTCTTTTTAGGTGTGAGACTGGGTCTTGAACTCAGAACCTGGTGCTTTGGTACATTGGCTAGTGCTCTACCAACTGATCCACGCCTCCAAACCCAAGTCTTGCCCTTTTTTACCAACCCTCTCTTATAGGAACTAATAGTGTTGTATGAGAACTGCATTCATCCTTTGGAGGGCAGCATCCAATGACCTAGTTACCTCACAATAGGCCCCACCTCTTAAAGGCTCCACCACCTTAGCACTACCGTACTGAGGACAAAGCTGCCAGCACACAGACCTTTGGGGGACATACCACACCATAGTAATCTCCAACAAACCATTCTCATGGGAGGTAGCTGTCTCTGCTACCAGCACATGTGTGGAAGGGTGGGAGGTTGCTACTGGAAGTTACTGGAAGCAGTCAGAGCCTCCATTCCTTAGCCTCTGTGATGTCATACTAGCACCTCTTTCCTTCCATCCTAGGCAGGGACTTCTGAGGCTGCTGTGGCCATGGGACCCTGGGAACCAGCAGGAGAGAGGGGACCTGGAGGCTCTGGGTTCCCCCGGGGGAGCAGGGGGCGCGGGGGGTGCAGCTATGCCATTCGTAAAGGAAGGCATGCCCCTTGTGAAGGAGCCCCAGCCGCCGGCGCTGGGCCCGCTCTCCTGGTTCCTCCCCAGCCTGTTCGCTGCCTTCAATGTGGTCCTACTGGTCATTTTCAGTGGCCTTTTCTTCGCATTCCCGTGAGTCTCCCATGCAAGCTGTCAGCTTCCTCACAAAGAGGAAAATAAGTGTGGGCAGAGGGAGGGAGGGAAGGGGTGTTCAGAGGTCAAGAGAAGGAGGACAATTTAGTTGGGGGGAATTGGATGTTCAAGAATAGAAATTTAGAGGACTTGATGCATTTGGGGGCATTCCAGATGGCTGGTACTTTGGTAGGGCTTGGCCTGCATCTTTTGAACTGGCTTTAAGGTCTATGAGTTCTTTGTTTTTGGTTGGTCGTGGGGCCTGAACTCTGGGCCTGGGCGCTGTCCCTCAGCTCTTCAGCTCAAGGCTAGCGCTCTACCACTGGAGCCACAGTGCCACTTCCGGCTTTTTTCTTTTTGCTTATGTGGTGCTGAGGAATCGAACCCAGGGCCTCAGGCATGCAAGGCAAGTGCTCTACCACTGAGCCACCTTCCCAGCCCAAGGTCTATGAGTTCTGACCCAGGTGAGCCCAAGCCCGAGTTCGGAGCTCAGGACCGAGTCTGGCTCTGGTTTCAGTTGCAGGTGGCTGGCTCAGAAAGGGGAGTGGGCCTTTCCTACGGTCACAGGGCTCCTCTTCATCCTCACCTTCTTCAGTCTTATTTCACTCAACTTCTCTGACCCTGGTATCTTACATCAAGGTGAGGCCTTGGCCCCCCCTGGGAGGAGGTGGTTTCCCCAAGGATGGGGACCTGCAAGGGTGAATTCTAAATGCCCCTACCCTGACCTTGGGACCCCCATTTCCTCTGTCACTATTGCTTTAGTTCTGGCACTTCACTTTCCAGGCCACCAAAGTGTGAAGAAAAATAGAACCCTGGGTTTTTTCCAGAAGCTTTGAAAGGGTGATTCTGGCAGGTGGGGAGAGAAGCCAGTAGATTTGTTCAGGCCACAAAGTGATACACACACACACACACACACACACACACACACACACACACACGACTTTAAGCACAGATCACTCTTCCAAAGGCCCCAGTTCTCTATAGAACTCTTCTGCTGGAAAGTCTCTTTTCCTTTGCCAGCCTCTAAGCAGTCACCTTGCTCAGTAGGTCCCAGGGCTTCCTCTGCCCACCTCCTTCCTACTCTTCTGGTGCCCACGAATGCCCTGGGGCTTGTGGGGCAACAGTGGTGGAAGGGCCTGTGGCCTCTGCTCAACCCTCTTCCCGAGCCAGGCTCCATGGAGCAGAGCCCCATGATGGTGCACGTGGTGTGGGTGAACCACCGAGCCTTCCGCCTGCAGTGGTGCCCAAGGTGTGGCTTCCATCGCCCTCCCCGGACCTACCACTGCCCCTGGTGCAACATCTGTGTGGAGGTGAGCGCCCCTCTTTGCCATCTTGTCTCCTACACTGGACCAGGACCAGGAGCTCCACATAACAGGGCCAAGGGTTGGGTGTGAGCCACCTTCCAGGACTACGGTAGGCAGCAACTCTCAGCCACTCTTGGGACCAAGGGCTAGTGGCCTAGAGGGCAGGGTTAGGGGCGGCCCAGGACTTGGGGTTAATGGAGGCCTAGCTGCTTTCCCTGTCACCTAGGACTTTGACCATCATTGCAAGTGGGTCAATAACTGCATCGGTCACCGCAACTTCCGCTTCTTCATGCTACTGGTCCTGTCCCTCTGCCTCTACTCTGGCGCCCTCCTGGTCACCTGCCTGATATTCCTGGTTCGCACCAGCCACCTACCATTGTCCATAGACAAGGTCATGGCGTATCCACAAGGCCCAAGGGTAGAGAGAAGTAGAGATGGAGGAAGACAGCCCAGGGGCGGAGCTAATGGTGGGAGGGTTGAATAAATGTTAGGGGCGGAGCTAATGGGAGGGTTGAATAAATGTTAGGGGCGGAGCTAATGGGAGGGTTGAATAAATGTTAGGGGCGGAGCTAATGGGAGGGTTGAATAAATGTTAGGGGCGGAGCTAATGGTGGGCGTGACTATAGGGAGAAGCAGCCTTGGAGGACCAGTGTGGCACTGGATGAAGGTTGGTGGGGTCAGGAGGTAGACCGGGAGCTGGGAATCTTGTGGGGTCATGGAGTGGGGTGCTGCAGCTTGGAGAGGATCATGGAGGGACAGCATGGTGGGATGAGGGGAGTGGACCAGCAGGGCTGGCGGGTGCGGGGTGGGGGGGGTGCTCTGGGCCGCACTGTTCCTTAGCCATGCTGGCAGCATCCTGGTGGCCATCCCTGCTGCAGGCTTCTTGATGCCGCTCTTCCTACTGCTGCTGATACAGGCATTGTCGGTGAGCGCGGCTGAGCGCTCCTACGAGGGCAAGGTATTCTGGGCCAAGTGTGAGCCAAAGTGTGTGTGGGGGGGGGGAAACGGGTGGGGGGGCGAGGAGTGATTGGAACAGGGAAAGGCGGCCTTGATCCTCTGCCACCTCAGCATTAGCGGTTCTGTCCACTGTCTTGGGCCTTGGTGATGCCTCTGAAGATGTGGTTGGATCCCATCGCCTCCTGGGTGAATTGCATCCAGAGCCTACTGGGTGCTAGGTTGCGTGCATTGTTGAGGGACAGGCACAGATGTGGAGGGCTGTATCCTACATTTGTGTTAATGAGGAATCTAAGATTAGTGCCCGGCCACCTAGGAACACTGAGAGAGGGTGGGTCCTGCCCTGTGCTGCAAAACCTTGAGTTCCGCAATGCCCTTGTCAGGCCATGCATCTCGTTCATCCTATGTTTGGTTTTGAAGGGGCAGAAGGCCCCTGGGAGAGGCACAGCTTTGCAAAAAAGTGGAGTGTTGGAATGGTGAAAAGCATCTTCAAAGCAGAAGATGGCATGGGCAATTAAGTGGACCCCTTGAGGCTGACCACATTTAAAAGACCCATAAAAGTCAACCTGGGCCAGTGTTATGGCTATAATTCTAGCTACTCAGGAGGCTGAGATATGAGAATCATAGTTCAAAGACAGCTTAGAGAGGAAATTCTATAAGGCTCTTATCTCCAATTAACCACCAAAAAGCCAGAAGTAAGTGGAGCTGTGGCTCAAGGGGTAGAGTGCCAGCCTTGAGCGACACTGAATTCAAACCACAGCCCCCCACCCACCCAATCAATTCCCCTTTGTTCACAATCATAAAGAAAATACCAAGGATTTTTGCATATTTATTTTGAATCCTGCAATCTTTGCTGATTCAATTATTCTAAAAACCTTTCTTGCTGATCATTCATGGAAAATCATGTCATAGAAGCCTTCCCAGTACTCATGGCTTGCTTTTTGTATCTGCACTGTGTTAGAACTCCAGTACAGTGTTGAGCAGCCTGTTAGGACTGGACACCCTTGCTGTGGGATTCTCTTAGCATGACAGTAACTTATGTAAAGACTGTTACAGGAGGACTACGGGCAGCACTGATGGGGGGGGGGGTGGCTGTAGGCACTGAGGCCGTGAAGGCAGAAGCGGGCTAAGTGTCAGCGTTCCCTTGGGGAGAAGCCAACGGCCTGCCTGCTCTCTGGCTTCCCTGCCCTTGGAGGCTTGCTGTAGCTGTAGGCCAAGCCCTGGCTCAGAGATGGTCACTGGTGAATGGTCTGCCTAATTCTACCAGTTCTGAGCTTTTCTTTCCTTCTCCATCCCTCTCCAGTGTAGATACCTTCAGGGATACAACCCTTTCGACCAGGGCTGTGCAAGCAACTGGTATTTAACAATCTGTGCACCGCTGGGACCCAAGTGAGTTGGTAAACCCAAGGCCCAAGTGTGGTGGACCTGGGGCTGATAAGGTATGGGACTGGTAGAGTGATTTTTCTCTCCTGGCCCTTTCCCCCAGCTCCCAGGCTCTGGAATTTTCTCCAGGGCACTGTGGGAGCCTCTTGCAGTTTCCTTGCCTTCACTGGTTCTTACTCAAGAGCATGGGGTTGAGGGAGCTGCAGCCTGGTTGAACCTTGGCCTCAGCTTTCTGCCGTAGCTGAGAGCCTGGCCTGTGTCCCCGGCTGGGAGCGTGAGCACGGTGACCCCTGACATCTGGCCTCTTGCTTCCCAGGTACATGTCTGAAGCAGTCTGGCTGCAGAGAGTGGTAGCGCCTGAGTGGGTGCCTGTGTCCACCCTGTGTCCTTCTGCGCACTGTCCCCCAGTTCTGTCTGGACCCCAGCCTCAGCCTCTGGGTCTCTATGCACCAGGCAAGGGTCCCCCAGGGAGTGGCGAGGCTGCAGTTCTCCAGGAGGTGAGAATGGGTCAGTACGTGGGGAAGAGGGCTGTGTGGGTTGCACAGATATTGAGGAACCCCCCACACACACCCCCAGTCAGGCTGACCTAAAGCTAGAGCACCTCTTGGAGGAAGGGGATTATAGTTCTGGAGGACCATTGAAAAGAGGGTCACAGGCTTCCAGAATATGCCAAGGAATCCTTGGAAGAGATTACCTCAAAAGCTTGTTGGCAGGCCTTGGGCCAGTCATTCACTCTTTCTGGGCTGTTTCCAACTCAGCTACTAATGAGGACAGAGACTACTCCAGTAGTTACGCTGTTTTGAAGAGTTTGTATTTAAAGGATATTTTTACCCGAACTCCATATGGAAGTGGAGCAGGAGATGTGTCACCCACAGTGCCCCTTCCCCCCCCCCCCCCCTGCATCCTTACAGTAACATTCCGTGAGCTCAGCCCTCTCCTAAGCTCCACCTAGACTGGGCAGGGGCGTGTCTATGAGCTGTGGGGCTGGCTGGAGGTACCTGCACACACTCAATCTGTGTTTAGCTCCATGCCAGCCCAGTGCTGCCCCTGCTACCGGAGGCCCCCAGACGCTGCCCGACCTCCCACTCACCCCTCCGGACCCGATGCCAGGAGCACCTTCACTTGAACCTCACCTCCTGAGTACCCTTCCTTTGCCCGTTCCCCTGGTGAAAGTACTGACCCACCCATGCCCATTAAATACCATTTTGCTGCTTCCTATAGCTGCCCTGCTTTGCATGTCCGTCCAGAGTGTGAGGGGAGGTAGGGAGGCTCTGAGGAGTTGATAAAGATTTCCATGGGGGAAGGAGGGGTGAAGATCCAGGATCCCTGGAGATGGAGCTCAGGAACTCACATTGCCTGGATCTATGACTTTGGGTAAGACATTTAGCCCTTCTCTCATTGTTCTAGTGGGGCAACAGTAAAAACTGTCATCACTGACCAGTCCTGGCTGGGGATGATGGGAGAGAACCCAACCTTTACCAAGCAGTATCTCTGTATAGCTGCAGGGGGCACTAGTCGTCCAGGAATTCTCAAACTTGGCCTGATGCCACTCGGAGGGCACCTCTGGACCTCTTAGCTGGGCCGACACTTGGGTTAGGCATGGGTATCCTTCACTCTGCCTCTCCAGAGTTGCACAGGGCAGGGAAGGACTGTCCATTTCAGTCCAACTCTGAATGTCTCCTTTTGGTGCTTCCTGTGGCCAGCACCTGCAGGTGATCCTTCTGATCCTGTCCCTGCAGGTGGGGATGGGGGCACATGGAACGATGGCTCTGCTAGTCGCTAAGTGCATGACTGGGGGGCTAGGAATAATGTCACCTTCATGGGTGGTTGGGAAACCAAGAATGAGATAGGACACATCAGGCAAAGTGCCAGGTACACAGTTAATGATAACAATGTTTGCAGCCATTGAGACCCCAGTGATTTTCCCAGTGGACAGACCACCCAGTGTTTCTCCAAGAACCACCTGCTCAGCATCACTCAGTGCCCAGACCACTGGCTCAGAATCTCACTGGGGATAGGAATTTTTTAAATTAGCATACATTGCTTATCGAAGGGGTGACATTTCCGCATATGTAAACAACGTATCTCAGGGGCTGGGAAAGTGGCTTAATGGTAGAGTGCTTGCCTAGCATGCATGAAGCCCTGGGTTCAATTCCTTAGTACCATATAAACAGAAAAAGCCAGAAGTGACCCTATGGCTCAAGTGGTAAAGTGCTGGCCTTGAGCAAAAAAGAAACTTAGGGACAGTGCCCAAGCCCTGAGTTCAAGGCACAGGACTGGCAAAACAAAACAAAACAGGGGCTGGGAAGATGGCTCAGTGGTAGAGCGCTTGCCTTGCATGCTTGAGGCCCTGGGTTCGATTCCTCAGCACCACATAAGCAAACAGAAAAAAGCCGGAAGTGGTGCTATGGTACAGTGGTAGAGCGCTAGCCTTGAGCTGAAGAGCTGAGGGACAGTGCCCAGTCCCAGAGTTTAGGCCCTATGACCGGACCCAAAAAACAAAACAAAAACAAAACAAAACAAACAAACAAACAAAACAATGTATCTCAAGCAACCTCATCCCTTCTGAATTTTTATCAAGGGCCCTCGGTCATTCTGATACAGAACATACATGCCAGCACAAACCACACTGTTGCCTGTGCCCTGTACCCAGGTGGAATCGTGTGTAATGATGGTGGACAGAAAGGGGTGGCCACAAGTTCAGATGAACACGCCAGAGGCTTGTGTGTCTATTACCAGGCTGTGTTTTTGTATCTAACCTCATCCTCTGGGGGATGTCAGTCCAGCTGAGTATCTTCCTGCCAGCTACAGGATAGTGGCCTATGGTGCAAGACATCTCTCCAGACCACTGAATCCTAACCCAAAGCTGCCAGTCTCCACCCATCCCTAGAGGCTCTAGAGACCTCCCTGTTCCCACCCAGCTCCACTTACCACCCTGCTTCTGCTCTGGCTCTTGGATTCCTGGCAAATCCTTTTTCTTTCTTTCTCTTTCTTTTTTTCTTTCTTTCTCTCTTTCTTTCTTTTTTTCTTTCTTTCTTTCTTCCTTCCTTCCTTCCTTTCTTCCTTCCTTCCTTCCTTCCTTTCTTTATTTTTCTTTCTTTTATTTCTTTCTCTCTCTCTCTTTCTTTCTTTATTTCTTGCTTTCCTTCCTTCCTTCCTTCCTTCCTTGCTTTCCTTCCTTCCTTCCTTGCTTGCTTTCTTTCCTTCCTTCCTTCCTTCCTTCCTTCCTTTTTTTCTTTTTTTTTTTTTGTCGGCCTGGGTGCTGGCCCTGAACTCTTCAGCTCAAGGCGAGCGCTCTACCACATGAGCCATGGCACCACTTCTGGTTTTCTGATGGTTTATTGGAGATAAGAGTTTCATGGCTTTTCCTTGCCTGGGCTGGCTTTAAACTGTGATCCTCAGATCTCAGCCTCCTGAGGAGCTAGGATTTCAGGCATGAGCCACAGGCACTGGGCTTCTTTTTCAAGTTCTTATACTCTTATTTAAGCATAAAGCTGAAGCAGCTCCATCTCTCTGGGAAGTTTGAAGTTCATGGTTGCCTGTGGGAAGGAAGGGAAGTCTGTAGCAGTCCCTGAGTCTAGGCATTTATACTTATGTACCCATGTGGGTCTCATGTCTGCTGCCTAGTTAGGAGGCAAGTGGGGGAGAGGGAGAGGCGTAGCAGTTGGGCAGCTAGGGTCTCCCAGCTCACTCCTAGTGGCAAGTCTTAAGGGTAGCCTTGATCTGGGTCAGAGAGGATGGGAGGGAGTCAAGGTGTCTGGGCTTCCTCTGGGTAGTCTGGGTGCAAATCATGGAACTGCTGGGCTGGTTTCGGGGGACCTGCTAACTCCTGCCCTGCAGGTGGTCCTGCTGCTGCCCTTTCTAGCTCAGGACTGCTTTTATTGGGTCCTCGCCTCCAGGTGTAGGGAAGACTGGAAGACTCACATCTGGCCTCCAGCAGGATCCTCCCAAGTCCAAAGCTAAGTGTGAGTCCTCTCTTGACACCATAGGCCTCTGTTTTCCACAGGGCCAGAATATGATTTGCTAGAGAGTCTTAGAAGAGGTCATGACTGCTCCACAGGCAATCACTTCCTCTCTGGGATCAAGACTGTTGGTCTGTTTCAGCCTCAAAACTTCTGGGGCTTCTTTAGGAATCACATTCCCCTTGTTGAGTGCTAAGAGGTTCCCAGCCCAGCCTTTCCTTGACACTCCTGCCCCTATCCCTGCCCTGTCTTGGGCCATTCTCATGGGTCCTTCTCTAGCAGGCTAGGAGGTTCAGCTAGGTGCACCTATCTTCTCTTCCTGCCCCTCCTCAGTTCTGCAGAACTTGCCCTTGATTCTCAGACACACCCCACCCAGTCCCTGGCCCACAGATAAGGTGAGGGCTGTTTATCAGAGTCTAGTTATGAGTCTACTGCCCATATACAGAGAAAGGCCTACCATCACTGCCTTACCCTGCCCTGGTCCAGAACCAAGGAATGACCCCCACCCACACCCAAATCCTGCAGGGCTGCAAGGTGCCCAGGTGCCAGCTACCTCCTAGAACTGAACCTGAGTCCCTGATCTGAGAACCTGATCTCTAGATCATCATAGATCTCTTTCCTCCATGGACCTACAGGAAGGTCAGGGCCTATGGAGTGGGGCCCAGATACTCAGCTCTGAAGTAACATGACTCAGCCCTAGGGTTCTCACAGTCACTATAACTACTTCTTGGGGGTCACAGGCTCCAATCTCTTTGGAGAGGGAGAGGACTTGGGAGTCCCTTCATCTATTAGTCTAGCACCCCCATTTTCACAGACAAGAGCTCTGGGCTTAGGAAGGAAAGTGGTTGCCTGTCCCGTGGTCAAGTTTGGTGGCTCTCTGGATCCCCTGTGGCCACTCCCCTTCCTGCTGGGAGCCATGCCAGCAGAGGGAGGACTTGGACAGGGAGCCTGGGGCCAGTGCTCCTGCCTGGGCCTCAGAGCCCTGCAGCGTACAGAGACCCAGGGCTGGGGAGCTGATAAGAAGGCCGGGCTGGACTCTCTCCAGCCTGTGCTGCCTGATAATGGCTTCTGCTGCCTCCTGCTTCGCCCCACCCAAGGGGACCTGCTAGTGGCTGAGGGTGGGGTAGGGTGGTGACTGAAGGCAGGGCAGGCTCCCAAAGTGTGGGATCCAGGGTCTAGACTCCTAACACAGGTACCTCGCTGGCTAACTGATGGGCACCTGGGCTTAGTTTAGGGCCTCTATTCTTTCTCTTTGGTTCTTAGCAGACAGAGGGTGATGGAAGGAAGGAATAACCTTGTTCTCGGTGATGGAATCATTCCCGAGCAATGCTGGGAGCAACCTGGGCTAAGTGGCTCATGTTATCTCCTTGAATCCCCACATCAACCATGCCAAATTATAATTCTGGCCTTATAGATGAGAAAACTCACTCTGGAGCTTTCCCGACGTCATACTGCCTTTCATGGCAGGGTTGAACTGCATAAGCACTTTGCTATGACCCTGTGCCTCTCTGTGTGGAGTAGTGGTTCTGTGTGGAGTAGTGGTTCAAATGTGGGCTCTGAAAACAGCCAGCTTACTCCTTCTGGGAGCCAGATGAGTGTTTTCATGGCACAGTGTTGTCATGGAGACTGGTCAATGGGTAGTGATGATTACCATTTAATACAATCAAAGGGATGTGAAAGGCAGAACTTAGTGATATGCGTGGGGGCCTGAGGATGCCGGTTACCATGACAACAGCAGCATGTTGAAAGGAGATTGGGGTCTGCTATTTGGTGGGGGGGGGGCGGGGGAGGCATGTTCTATCATTTCACAGAGAACCAGCTCATGTGGGGGGGTATCCAGACCAAAGGGACCCAGGTGTGTGGGCTCAGACTACTTGAGGAAACAGGAAAATGACTACCAGTCACGGCTCTGCAGCTTGCTGCTTCTGCTTTGTGGCTTATATTCAGACTGCCTCGGGCTGAAGGAAATAAAAAATCACAGTGGCTGGGCAGCTGCTCAGTGCCACCTGATCCCAAGAAAGGCCATCTGTCCTTTGTCTCCTCTCTACTTTCTCTTCTCCCTCTTCCTCCTCCTCTTCTCCCTCCTCCTCTTATTCTTCCCAACTGTCTTTATCACTCTTCTCCTGCTCTTGCTGTCCCCCATTTACCTTCAATTTCCTGAACT